ACTTATAGATGGAAAAATACGGTAATTAGGTAAAATGTTTTCCATTTTTTCCTCTAATTAGAAGGTGGCTAGAAAATCAAAGAGATGAGATATACAAAAAGGACTGTGATTATATCTTTGGCATATCAATCTTTCTGAGGAGGTGGAATGAAACCAACTGGCTTTCTTAAGGTGCAAAGCATTGCAAGGTACCGACTCTCAAAATTATTGTGATAAGCAATACCTGTTAACAAGCAACAGAAAAACTGAAAATATCCAGTGTAACATTTCTTTTTGCTTTAAAAACAATGACAAAAATACTAAATTTACCTCCAGAAGAAGATCTATTAAAGGAGTTTGCTTGCTAGCAGGTGTAAGGCAGAGATTATCTATTATCAGCACACGCATAAAGTCAAACACAAATTTCTTAGCAGGATGGTTGGTTAAATAAGTCTTAGACCCCACATTGCAATATTCTGATTGGCTCCGATTCATCCCTGTATCAGAGGCAAATGCTTTGAACTCTTCTGCTGGAGATCCGGCATCATCATCTAAATCAGTAACCTATTTTTGAAAAAGAAATCAGTCATATACGTTCTATGTATCAGCTATGACAAAAATTCATTTTGGACAACAGAGTGAAAGAGATGGTTTGCAGTTATTTACTTATTTTAGCATCTCAGCACCTAACTGACCTAGGTAGATCTTGGAAGTTAAACGAAGTCAGCCCTCCATAATACTCGAATGGGGAACATGAGAATTCCAGGCTGTTGGCTAGATTGAAAGTTGAAAAAAAGTCCTGGAATGAAGCTATGGCAAAAAACCAAAAAACTACTTATATTAGCATTACTTCTCTAGAAGTGTCTCTCAGAATGCTCATTTTCAAGTCCATTTTCATCTTCCAGTTCATTGTTAATAAGATGAAATACAACCTAAAGATTTATCACTTCACAAGTATTTCTGAACCTCCAAAGTGCATGCATTGGCAGCCTGCCATTCTTCCAAAAACTTTATCCAATTTTACTTCAGAGAGCTTTTGTGAGGACACGTTAGGAGATGGTGACTTACTCAAAATATTTACTTCAGAACACTTTACTTCAGAAAGTTTTTGCGAGGACACGTTAGGAGATGGTGACTTGCTCAAAATATTTGAAGCAAAATTATCAACCCAAGTCTCCCTGATCTTAATTCAAGAACTTATACTAAATTTAATGGGCATTTAGAAGACAGCTTGTGGGCATATTTGGAAGATGGTAAAATGCATTATATAAAAATTGGGGACATTTCATGTTCAGGACTGCATATACATTTCTATAATTAATAGCACAGGTAAAAAGTATGATTGGAGCTTAGTAGCAATTTTGTTGTTGTTTTGCATTCATTATTGGAAGATACTTCCTTTTGAAACTGTTAAGGATAAAGTAATTAACTAAAATTCAGAACATCCGTTATGTCAGCTCTTTTTTGTTTGTTATTATAACACTGCTGTTCATGTACTGTGCCACTGACACTTTTAGTGTCTTACTTTTGCTCTTAGCAGATGAATTCCATGCTTTAGATTAAAAAATGGAAAACATGGTATCATTCAAAATATATTAATTATAATCAAGACGATGAATTAGTATTTGCTCAATATCTGAATTTGGTTTTAGGGAAGAAAAAAATAATTGTGAAAGAAGATATACTCCAAAATACCTAAAAAAAACCTTTACTGAATGTTTAGGCACTCAGTCATATATATAATTTGTATAGTGAGATGGGCAGCATATATAAACTTGAATAAATAAATAAATAAAAACAAAATTAGATATGGGAATTAATATTTTAAAGAGAAAATGTGGCATCGATATTCCCCACAGAATATTGTGAACTATTTTCCACACAGAATCCAGTTCTAGAAGCTGAAAGGAACAGAATGGTTTCTCCAGTGTTTCAAAGGCAGATGGTGAACTCAGGAACACAGTTTTTTTCACTGCCTCTCCCTCTCATCCAGCATCTGTTCTCTCAGAGGCCTGCCTCCCTTTGACTAATAGTAATAGTAATCCTTGATATTCAGCAATCCTGGCATTTCTTTTAGTTGTTCAATTGTTTGGTATCAGTAGCCAGAATCAAAGGACACCTATTATAATTTCCCCTAATCATGCATTAAAGGTAATCTTAATCCATGTCTTGCAACTGAACTCTCAGAAGCCAGAGGCATCCTGGGGTCAGATAAATATGATACAGCAAAAAACCAACTCATTGCCACAGAGCTTAGAACAGCAGATGGTGCTAAGGAGGCCTACAAGCTGGCTATTGTCACAAATGGTTTAGACAGCTGCTCTGAGATAGTAACTCTGGCCCTCCTCCCTCCACAAGAGACACGAAGCATGGTAGAGTGACTGTTATTTGGGCTGTAGCCAAATATGAAAATTTGCTATCCGTAAGGACATCTAAAAAGATACCTGCTGAGAATAGGATATGAATAGAAAGAGACTTAGTAGAGAGCTACACAAGCAAAATATTCTACTAAACTAAAATGTATGGATGATAATAAGCAGATTAAGTTCCTAATTACAAGCTAAGAAGATACTGGAAAGGACATAGTGAAAGCAGTGTCATTATCCACACAGAATGTTCAATGGCGGTTGTCAATGATGCAAAAGAACTTGATGATGTGTGGCTTAAGCCTTCAGTCTCAAGACTGTGTAGACTGTAAAGGTTAAAGCAGTATCAAGTGCTAATTCCCTTGTGAGAGTTGTAAAGCCTCTTGAATCTGATGGTATTAATTCATGGATGAGATTTCACAAAGCCCAGAAAGCTTCCTTAACAGCAGTGAAGACAATGTTTTTGCTCTTAAACATAAACATGTATAATCATCTAACACTGGGACCATCCAGTTCCCCAGGTCTCTCCACAGGCTGCAGCTCTCCCAGATTTCATGTTTTTCTCATTCAGGATTTTGTGCTGAACTTGGGATTTTATACACCTGTAACATTAAGCAAGTTTTAAAAATCAGAAACCATCTTTGCATGAGTAATCAACTGGTACTTACAGCAGAGATGGCTCTCAGTAATTTCCTGTTGATGAATCTTTCTATGCAGTTACATTTATTTCCAAACAATAGATACCAGATAATCTTTTTTTTTTGTGTGTGGAAGAAAGGGATTATTTTGTTTCCTACCATTTCTGAATATGGCCGAATGTTGAAAGGGAACACTGTAGCTGCCAGCGCACAAAGAAAATCTGGGCTCATCCACATTGAAGCTAAATCTGGAACATTATGATACAAGTATCGAAAGAACTGCATCAACGTGACTGGATATTCACGCAGCCAAGAGCCTTCTTCCTCTGACTGCCAAGGCTGCAATGCAAGAAAACATTAGAAAGTTTATTTATTGAAATGATAACATAATATGAAATAACCATGTGGTGCATTATCTAAAATAGAGCTGTACTGAGTAGCATCTCTAACAGCAAAATGTATTGAGGAATTAACCCTATTTATTATTAACTATAGCATGGGAAAAAGAGAGAGAGAGAGAGAGAGAGAGAGAGAGGGAGGGAGGGAGGGAGAGAGAGAAGTGTATTCATATGTGACATCACATGTCTTATTAACTGTGGGGTATACTGTAAGGAAAGTTAGTAGCTTGGATCAGGGCCATCTGGTAACCTTCATGTTCACTCACCTGCAAAAGCCAACAATATTGTTCCACTGAGTATGCATGGACGGATAAAGAGTCATATCTTTTTCTTATGAGATGTACAGCATTATTTATTTCATAAGAAAGGACTGCCTATTTCTTAATATGCATCACTTCTCTAAGCACAAAGTTGCTTCTACTTTGCAACAAGACCTCAGTAGTGTCTAGCCAAACACTTACTAATGTTGGCTTTATCAAGCAATGCTTTAGTCTGGTAGACTGTGGATATCTAATTTGATAGACTGTGAGGTCATATGCATATGCTGTATAGATAAAACTACCTAATAAAAGTTAATTACTAATATTAAACATAGATGAAATCAAGGAAACACTTGGGGTGGCAAATAGGTAGAAAGATATGGCAATCTCTGTTTTGTTAGGTGTTGTCTTTTTAAAAAGAAAGAGTAGCCACTTGTATTTATATCTGTCTATCCATCCATCCATCCATCCATCCATCCATCCATCCATCCATCCATCCATCCATCCATCCATCCTTTCCTCCAGGAGCAAAAAAGCAGCTTACAGAGGGACTTCCCTGTGAGTCAGGTTGGGCTGAAAGAGAGAAAACCAGTGAATGGCTGAAGGTAGACTTGAACCTCATTCTCCTCTATCCGAACCAACACTTTAATATGTGAAACTCCCTTGTTTTTACTTACTGCCTAAAAATTGTGTCCATTAATGGCACCATGAAAGCAACTAGCAGTAATGAGTAGGATACGATATTGTTACCGTTTAAAAGGGAGAGTTTTCGGCATTTGGAAAAGATTCTACCTCAGAATTTCAACTAATCTTTTCTTAGCTTTTTACAAGCAAAAGAGATAAATTGAACAACATGTGCAATATTTCAACTTCTCATGGGCAGAGAGACTCTATACTTACTGAATTTAACATGCTCCTAAGCATTCCCAGGAGTAAAAATGCAGCTTCTGTGCAAACACTGTGAACTGAAGCAACCACAGTGCCACTTGATGCAGGAACACCAAATATGAATGTCCAAATTGAGTCTAAGTCAAACTTTGGCAGAGAAGGGGAAAAATACAAATACGTTATTTTGCTCTCTGTATGTTCATTTATAAGCAATTTGTACATATTGCAATGCAAAGCTTGCCATTCCATTGCTTGGTACTTCAGGGTTATTTGTACAGATCAACTAATGAGGTGATTTAAAGTGCTCACAGAATCTACCAGAATCTATTAAGCACTTCATCATATCTTATTTATTGGACAATGTTTAAAACAGATACCCCCCCGCCTCCACTACCCAAATAGGGCAATTGGTCAAGGAAGCACATGTATCTATCTGAAGATTGTGGAAGAATAAAAAAAAGATTTAAGTTATATAGGTGTCTGCAGAGAATAAGCAATTTTCAGAAAAAGTTGCCAACAACCTTTAAGAGGCATGCTACAATTACTTGTCAATTTGAAAAAGACAAATGCTAGTATATTAGTTGATATTCAGACTCCCTGTTGTCATTTACCAAACAGCACTTCTTGATCATTCTTCAGTAATGCTTCCATTTTAAAAAGGTGATATTCTTTTTCCCTCATAATTCTTGAGTGTGAGAGAGATGTTTTTACAAAGTCACAGCAGAGATTTACATAAGCAACTACAGTGGTACCTCTAGTTACGAACGCCCCTCCTTACGAATTTTTCAAGATACAACGAGCTCCGGCCGCAAAAATTTGCCTCTACTTGCGAACTCTGCCTCTACTTATGAACCGGATCTGCGGCCATTTTCCCTGCTGCCACGCGGTCGCAGCTTCCTGTGGGTGAGATTGCGGTAGCAAGGAGACGTTCAGTGAGGCTTGTGGTGTGTTTAAAAGTTCAGCTTTGTCTTATCAGTGAAGTGTATGAACATGAGATATTTCTGCTGCAATAAAAATAGCATT